TTTTTTATAATTAATTTACATAAAAAATAATAAAAATTAACTTAAATTTAATTAATTAACTAATTAAAATTAATTATGTAACAACAATATTAAAAATAAAATTTAATTTTATAATTTTTTATATAAACTAATTATAAAAAAATATATTTATTATATCATTTATATATACACTTAAAATACATATTAAACAAACCTTAAAAAAATAATACTCCAACACGATATTTACTGCAGTTCCAACAGGTTGCACTTTTATTGCTTTAAAAGCAAGGTGACGTGGCTCAATAAATAAGCAGGTGCCGGTGGGAGAGTGCAAGAGGCGACTGCACCTAGTGCTGTTCTAAATTTGATTACTCAAGCACAATACTAGAAGCAAAAAATTATAATATATAGCCCCACATATATGAGAATGAAACCCAAATCCTAGAGAAGCACATGTGTCGAAGTTCTTGCAGACGTATCTAACTTTGGTTTACTATTAATGTCAAATTTAAATTTTGAAATATGATGTTTTTGTTTTCAAAATTATGAATTGATGTTGTGGATCAGTTCTAAATCTTAAATTATATATTGGAAAGAATTATTAGACTTTAAAATTTTTTAAATTTTATTGGTTTGCTTAAAAAACCAAAAAGAGTTTGAAAATTAACAAAAAGCTCGTATAACTTTCTTTCGTTAATTTTGATTGATTCATTTGCCATCTAACCCCAATTGAGGAGAAAACCTACAATTTTGTTGAATTATTTCTATTTTTAGTTTCTTACCAACCAATCATTGCCTAAAGATGGAGATGGGGCGAAGTTAGAGAAGGAAGAGAGAGAAACTATTGGAGAAATAAAAGGGAATACTAGAAAAGAAAGGGGTGAGTCAGAAGATACGGACACTTTCGGAATTTTAATGTTCTACAATATTTATTTATATTTAATAATTAAATGAGCCAATCTAAACTTTGCTTACCAATTGTATAAGTTATATTTAGGATTGTTGTAAAAAACTCTATCATAGTAAGTATTTTAGTATTTGATTATAAAAAATTTATATTATTACTTGAGAATTATTTTAAATAAAATTTTATATATTAATATAATTATTAAATAATATAAAATATTAATTAAAATTAATTTAATTATAATAAATTAATACTTTTATGATATCCTATGAAGATTTTAGGAATGATTTAAGTAGTATAACTGTTAGTATAAAATTGCTATTAACTTAAAAAAAATATAATTTGAATTATGGAGTAAATTGATCAATATTAAAGATATATATGATTAATGTTTGTCAAGAAACTATTAAAACATTTATTTAAATTAAGAACCTATTTTTTAATTTTTATTTTGACATAAAGAACCAATAGTACTTGTTTGTAGTTGGATTTACAAGAATGCATGTTTCTCCAAGTTAAGAGTACTGGTTTCTGTACAAAAAAAAAAAAAAAAGAGTACTGGTTTCTACCTTCCATTACCACTTCAAAGTAGCAAAGTGCGGGAGAGGCAGCGTGATTTTGTGCGCGGAACAGTAGATGGGGATCCACATGGCAGTTAGACATGGATTTAGGCCACCTCTCCTACATATTTTTCTTTACGGTCAGACGAAGATTGCACTACATTTTCCTAATTTTTTAAGCTTAGTGTCAATGAATTGTACCGGTTAGTTTTTTGTTTTGATTTTTAAAATTAATAATTAAAAATTATTAATTTTAAAATTTAATATTAAATATTAAAATTGACATCGTATTACATATAAAATTTTAAAATTAAAACTTAAAATTTCACATTAATTAATTTATAAATCTTCTTAATTTTATTTTAAGGATTTTAAATTTTTGAAAATTAAACCACGCATTCAAAATTACATTTATTCTAAATAAAGCCTTAGCAATCATAAATAAATAAAATAGGATAATTAAATATGACTAGAAGAAGTATTATATGCGTTTTGTTTCTGTTTTGAAACATATTTAACAGACTTGTCAAATTTGCAAGCATTATAATTAGCTTTTCCTATGATATTGTTTTACGTTATGTGTTTATAATATTACATAATTCTTTCAGTTTATAATCATGAAATACTATAATATAATTATTGTTGTACCTATTTATTCATTTACTAATACGTTATAATTATAAATAAGTTTTTGTAAGTTTAAAATCTTAAATGGTATATATTAAGTGGTATTAAAAACTTACAATCATAATCTAGTATGATAAATATATGTATATTATCACATACTATCAATGATGTAGTTTGATAATAGAGTTACATGTATTTTTTATTCATATGTTTAAAATTTAATCTTTAATATGTATGCACCAAATAAATTATATTAGTATAGAGATTTGAAAGTAATAATTAGTAGTTTAGACTAATTAAATTTAAAAAATATTTAAATAATATACAATAATAATTATGGATCATCAAATATCATTTATTAGTTATTTACTGATTTGAATTGTTAATCCAAGCACCTAATATTTGGTTTTAAATAAATTCCACAAAAAATTGTGTAATTTGTTTTTAAATCTATATCATCATTATATTTAGTTTGATTAAAAACTAATTATTTGAATTCCATAATTCATACCCTTATGTTTAATTTTATCAAAGTTTTGTGAAAGTCATTTATAATTCTATACTTCTTATGTTTTTCTTTTTGTTAACCTATATTTATTATGTTTGGTTTAATTAAAAAGCGTGGAATTTAATTGTAAACTTATAAATCATGAAATTTGTTAGACTAATTCAAGTCATCGACCTCACAAATCGTGAGGGTTAGGAAAAATTTTATATTTAACTCAATTCTATACTTATTTTGGAAAAAAAGAAGTTTTTGGGAAATTCAATTGTATTTCATACTCTAATTATTTTTTTAATAAAAAATAACCTCATTATTTGTGAATGAGAGTGAGGGAGTTCAAAATGGAAGAATATTTAGTAATCATTAAAAATATAGACTTCATTACCAAATTTCATTAAAAATGTTTATCAAAGAAATCATTAAAATTGATAGCATTTGAATTAGCCTATTTCAATGTTTAGGAATTATTTTGGTTAAAAGATTTAGAATTAAATTCCATACTTTAGGAATTATTTTGGTTAAAAGATTTAGAATTAAATTCCATACTTTTTAATCAAATTAAAGTATTAAGTATAATAATCTCTTTTCACTAAAAATGAGAGAAGTGAAATGGATAATCAGTTGAGAGATAATTACCTCTTGTTATGTAATTTAAAATAAAAATATGTATATAAAAAGTGTATAATTACAAATGAATTCTATAAAATTTTAATTAAATCAAACACAGTCATGTGGATTTTTATCATTAAATTAAAATAAAATTTTTTGTAATAAATCAAGCACAATAGATTTAAAAATTGCATTCCACACTTTTTTATAGAATAAAAGTTTGCGCCCTCCGTTATCAAATTGGAATAAGGTTAAGTCCTTCTTAATACTCCTATATTTTTCAACTTTTTGATGAGAAATACATTTTTCTTTTAAATATGTCTAACCATCTGCCCCTTTTAAAATAATTTAAAGTAACTCTTTAAAAATTTTATAAAAATGTACAAAGCTAAAACTATTGGATTGCTATTCATCCTAGCCCAAACTCGAAACCTAGTTAATCTCCATTAAAAAAAAAAAAAGGGACAGTGAGATTAATTTTTTATATTTTCTAATTACTCTTCCGCAAAGAAACAAAAAGATGAAATAAAATAAACGAAATGAATTAAGTACCTTATTGTTGAAAAGTGAGATGCCGCTGCAATTACCACTGTTGAAGAACCTAATCAGTTTTGGTAGCCTTCTTAATGTTAAGGACCGCAGACTGCCACCAAGCTTACATCCTTCACTTTCTTCAACGATCTCATTTCCATTGCCTTGCTCCTCCACGTCATCAATAATCTCTTCAATGTTGTCGCAATTTGCTACCTTTATTTCTTGAAGTTGAAGCTGTCTGGCCATGGAGAAGGAGAACAGATTCTTCAATTGATGACAACCATAAACGGTTATCTTTCTTAATACTTTAAAAGGTGCTGCTCCAGTCAGACCATGACATATCTTCTCCATTTTTTCCAGGTTGGAAAGAGTCAATACCTCCAAGATGGGAAATACATGGGAAGGAAGCAACCCCCCTGCTGGGTTAAAGATGTGTCGAATGTCTGGAGCATTTTGGACATGGAGACACTTCAGATGTTGAAAACCTTCATCATCTAACTCCTCAAGTAAACTCTCGACACCATTTAATCCCTCTAGATACAGTTCTTCTGTCTTCTTCAACAACTTCTTAACTGAGTCATTAGATTTAATGCTTGCACCCTCCAGCTTTAGCTTCATCATTTTTGAGCTTTCAAAATAGCTGTTCCAGGAGTAACTGTCCCAATAGCGATACTCCCAAGACTCCCTCCTGCTCGCTATTCCTATGAAAATCTTGAACCTTACCAAATTTTCAGGAAACAAAGTTTCTGGGAAATTAGGAATACGTACCTCTAAAGCAGTGAGCATATGCAGCTCTGTTAACTCAGCAAGCCCAGCATTTCTTCCCTCCTCATCATCCCATTGGTCAAAGCTGTTTCCCATTTTTAGCTCTTCCAATTTAGACAATCCTGCTAGGACTTGTCGTGGAATTACTTTCAGTTTGGTGCAGTCACTCAAATCTAAGAACTTTAGCTTGGTTAGCTTCTCCATTTCTCTTGGCAACTGTTCAACATAACATCCTGCAAGACTAAGGACCTCTAAATTCTCCAAATTCCCCACAATGGCTCCAAGGTCTTCGACATTAAACACACATTGATCCAGAAGTAAAGAATGAAGGTTCATTGGGATAAAGGGAATTGACGAAGGCGTTGACTTAAAGTCAATTTTAGTCAAACACAAGACTTCGAGTCCATCTGCTTCTCTAAAAAACTCTAATGGAACTGCTTGAGACTGAGCCTTGTTAGACAAATAAAAGAAAGTGAGCTGTGGACATTGCAACCCATTGGCTGGAAGCTCAATATCACCATTTGGCAAAGAAATCCACTTCAATTTTTCTAACGCCTTCCTATCTTGCAACTTTCTCCTTGCAACATCATCTACTAAAGCTAACCCACTGTGGTCTCTAAAAGCAATTGATAAGGCAACCTCTCGAATCTGATCGTGCAAATCAAACTGCAAACTGCTGTTACCATCAACTAACAAAGATGACCTTTTGAGATGACTAACCAATCTTAGTACTCTGGCTCTTGTCTCTTCTATTGTGTTCACCTGAAATAAATCCAAGCCCATGCCACATTTTAACAAGTCGTCGATTGAAGAGTTACGGCTCAACAAACTACAAAGAATGAATGTTTGCTTGAGCTTTCCTTCTTTCAAGTTATTGTAATTCAACTCTATGGGATTATAAACAGCTGCAGATATCCCGTCTGGAGAAGGCTTTTTTAATTCTGTAAGAGCATCGTCCCACTCAAATTGTTGAGTCTTCCCTTTCATGGCCTTTCCAACAGATACAATAGCAACGGGCAACCCGATACATTTCTCAACTATCTTTTTAGCTGTCGGTTGAAAATTAGAGCTTTCAACATTGCTACCAACAACCTTCTTGAATAGATGCCATGCTTCCTCATCTCGTAATTTATGTACCTCAAAGACCGGATCTTTCTCACCCATCATACCAGAGAGAACATTGTGAAATCTAGAGGTTAGAAGAATCTTGCAGAGCATATCTTCTTGTCTAGATGAGCTTTCTTCGCTCTTTTTCTCCATAGCCTCCTTCATCTCACTTGCAGAAGGGATCCCGAATTTCTCGAAATCTATTTCAGTATCCCATACATCATCCAAAATAACAAGAAATTTCCGCTCTTTCATCAGCTTTCTCTTTATTACATCTGCAACTTGTCGATCGGTAAGCTCTCTGAAAGAAAGCAGATCGATACCCAAGTCGCGTGCGATGTCTTCTTGAATATTTTTCAAATCCCGATCCTTTGTCACTGTAGCCATAACTACTACAGTAAACTGCTTGGCTTTTACCAGCATTTTTACCAGCATTCCTTTAACCATTTTTACCAGCATCGTCTTCCCCACGCCAGAAGTCCCATACACTCCGATCTTGTTGACGGTTGGATTTCTTAGCGCCTCCATGATCTGCTTCAAAACATCCATTCTAGAGTCAAACTCCTCAAAACCTTCCACAAGTGCTGCCACGTCTTGTTGTGTAGGAGAAGAATAGGAAACACTCGCCACGTCCTCTTGTCGAGGAGGAGCGTGGGAAAATAGGAGGGGTCCGAATCCAGTAGCTACTTCCAGATGTTGAACAATATCCTGGGAATTCCTCTCTGCTTCCTTACTGAGCTTGTAACGAGGAACGGGATTGGGACACAGCCGAAAGAAACACTCCTTGTTGGCAAATTCATCACCGACTCGTACAGCTTCCTCTGCTGCTTTGATGAATTCTTCTGCTTTGGTCAGCCAAGTCTGGACACTGTGATCAATCGATCTTCCTCTTCTGCCAATCTCTTCTATAAGGCTCTCCACACTCTTTCTTTTATCCTTCAGCTTCTCAACTTGATTCTGCAGATTCTCAACATTCCCGTTGCACTTGCGCACAACAGCGATTCGAGCAGGGACTGAATTTAAAATAAAATTCAAAATCCGATCAACTAGATTCTCAACAACTTTGGCACAAAAAGCGTCGGAAATTGGATCGGGCATCTTTCTCTTTTTTTTCTTTTTTTTCTTTTTGGTTTTTTGGGAATACAGGGGGGGTTTTCAGAGATATGCAGATACGAAAACGAAATTAGAGACAAAACAGTGGACAACAAGGCCAAAGAAATCAAATAGTAGGAAGAATACTGGAATTGAAGAGATGGATATATAATGCAAAAATGGATTTGGTTGAGAGGAAGGGAATGAAAAGGACGGTTTTTTTTTTTTTTTTTGATGGGCGGAAGAGTGAAACTGAGATAACGAAACAAAGGGTGAGATTAGTGGAAGATTGAGCCGATTTGTGTAAAAAGATGAAAAGGGGTGAAAGGAAGGTTTAACAAAAACAGAAAAACCAAATTAAACAAATCGTGAGAGATGAGAATGGTGGAAGAATGAGGAGATTTGTGTAAAGGGAAGTGAGGTGAAGCGCAGAGAGTAGCAGAAGATGATGGAAAGAATGACATGAACAGAGACGATGAAGGGAACAAATTGGGAAGAAAAGCAAATCAAATAAAATGGTGCAAGGAACACAGCACAAGTGGAAAAAGAGGGAGAATTGAAGTTTAGTTTCAGGGAAATCAAAGCCAAACACTCACCGATTTCTTTTGGGAAATGTTTTTAACTCTGGAATGGAAGGAAGAAAGGCAACAAAGGAGTGCAAGTTCAGTTTGGACGTGCTATGAACCAGAAAGCGTCCAGATATTTAAAGCTTCTCTAGGACAAAAGTCGGTAAAAAGTGGAAAGGGCGAAAATGACTAAATTATGTTTTTGTGATTATTCAAAGACTAGTCACTAATGTGTGAATGACAAAAGCATGTCTTTTCGGAGACGTATCAGAGATTAAAATGTTGCGTGGAACGTTGGATTGGAGGAGTTCTGGATAGTGAGTGGTATTACTTGTTATATAATTTATTATTTTATGTAATAAAAAAAATTTAAAATATTTTTT